CGAGTCTCCTGTCTCAGCCTCCCAAGTAGCTGGGACCACAGGCGCCTGCCACAACGCCTGGCTATTTTTTGGTTGCAGCCGTCATTGTTGTTTGGCTGGCTGCGTTGGATTTGAACCCGCCACCTTGGGTGTACGTGGCTGGCGCCTTAGCCACTTGAGCCACAGGCGCCGAGCCAAACCACTGATTTTGTGGTAGTTTGTTATAGCAGCCTGAACAGAGTAAAACAACTAGTAATACAGTGGTTCTCAACCTTCCTAATGCCACAGCCCTTTAATACAGTTCCTCATTCATGTTGTGACCTCCAACCATAAAATTATTTTTGTTGCTTCTTCTTAACTATAATTTTGCTACTGTTGTAAACCATAATGTAAATACCTGATATGCAGGATATATTTAGGTGACGCCTGTGAAAGGGTCATTCGACCCCCAAAGGGGTCACGACCCACAGGTTGAGAACCACTGTAGTAATAGGTGACACATGTTAAAACTTTATGTTCAGGGCTCAGTTTTAGGGACTGACAAATACTGATTTATTTAATCCACCTCACAGTTCTGTGAGGTAGATTATATTTGTTATTACAGTTTGCAAAGGAGGAAACTGATGCACAGTGAAGTTGAGTAATTGGCCCAAGTTCTTACAGCTTGTAAGTGGTGAAGCTAGAACTTGAACTAAGGTCTTCTGACTGCATAGACTCTCCTTATAATTGTCTGCAGTTCTCTCAGTAAATATTGGATGGACAAGTGGCTAAACAGGGAAATAAATAAAGTGAATTGTTCAACCATCTTTTTTTTTTTCTTTTTTTGAGACAGAGTCTTACTACGTAGCCCTTGGTAAAGTGCTGTGGTGTCACAGCTCACAGCAACCTCAAACTCTTGGGCTTAAGTGATTCTCTTGTTTTAGCCTCCTGAGTAGCTGGGACTACAGGCGCTCCCCACAACACCTGGCTAATTTTTGTTGCAGTTGTCATTATTTAGCTGGCCTGGGATGGGTTGGAACCCACCAGCCTGGGTGTATGTGGCTGGCGCCATAACCACTGTACTATGGGCACTGAGCCAGTGTTAAACCATCTTTAAAAACATTGTGGGAATAAAATGGGAAAATGATTAAAGATTGGGTGTTCATATTTTAAATGTTACTAGATATGATAATAGTATTGTGGGTGTGAAGAACAGTGTCCTTAATTTTTAGAAATGATGACTGAAGAATTTAGTATGAAGTGCCTGGTTGTCTTTTATTTAAATTACTTCAGCAAGATAAAAATTGATGGAAAAAATATGGGAGCATGTCAGCAATTGTTAAAGTAGATGAAGAATGTTTATTAGACTAATCTGCGTTTTCAACAATTTTATAATAAAAAGTAAAAAGATTATTAAAACTGAGTCATTTATTAGCAATAGCAAATAGTAGTACAGTAACAGTAGTACTCACATGTTTTAAATCTGAACTGGGGCTGAGCATAGTGGCTCACACCGCTAATCCTAGCCCTCTGGGAGACCAAGGTGGGAGGATCCTTTGCGCTCAGGAGCTCAAGACTAGGCCAAGCAAGAACAAGATCCCATCTCTACAAAAAAATAGAAGGATTAGTCAGATGTCGAGGTGGGCACCTGTAGTCCCAGCTACTTGGGAAGCTGAGGCAGGAGGATCTCTTGAGCCTAAGAGTTTGAGATTAATGTGATCTAGCCTAGGCCTGGGGCAACAGACTGAGATTCATCTCAAAAAATAATTTTAAAAATTAAAATGAAGTAAAATAAAATAATCTGAATTATTGGGGAAAGTATGTATATGTCTCATTAATATATAATGCTTTAGATTGATATCCTTTGGTTTTATAGATGAGGATATGAAACTTTATCAATGAAAGCTTTTTTTTTTTTTATTATTTTTAAAAAAAATATAGGGTCTCACTCTGTCATCCAGGCTCAATAATAGCTCAATTCCTGGGCTGGAGCAATTCTCTCATCTCAGCTTCCCAAGTACCTAGAATTACAATCACCACACCTGGCTGATTTAAAAATTTTGTAGAAGAGGTAGAATCTTGCTGTGTGAACCAGGGTAGAATGCAGTGGCTTGCTGCAGCCTCTAACTTCTGGCCTCATGCTATCCTCCCACCTCAACCTCCTATAGTGCTAGATAGGATTCTAAGCATGAGTCACTATGTCCAGCCCAGGAAAGATTCTTAGTTGTAGTAACAGCTTTTGATCCTTTAAGAACCCTCTCCCTTTTATCTCAGGACTTTACCTTTGGAAAGATAAAGTGATTTCTTTACTTTATCATTGCAAATATATATTTTGTATTATGTATTTGATGCAGTGTAATCAGGATGGGTTTCTTTACTCTCATTTATTTCAATAGCATGCATATACGTACACATGATTAGCATCTTATCTTTCTTTCATATTCTTTTTTATTTTTTTTGAGACAGGAGCCTCAAGCTGTCCCCCTGGGTAGAGTGTTGTGGCATCTCAGCTCACAGCAACCTCCAACTCCTGGGCTCAAGCGAGTCTCCTGCCTCCGCCTCCCAAGTAGTTGGGACCACAGGCGCCCGCCACAACGCCCGGCTATTTTTTGGTTGCAGCCATCATTGTTGTTTGGTGGGCCTGGGCTGGACTCGAACCCGCCACCTTGGGTGTACATGGCTGGCACCTTAGCCACTTGAGCCACAGGTGCCGAGACCTTTCTTTCATATTCTAAGAGGGAGGTAGTGTCATTTCCACTCCCAGGTTGAGATAAGCTTTTCAGTGATTACAATTAATTAAAGTGTAACAAACCTAAATAAGAATTGTTGGCTCGGGGCCAATGCTCAGTGGTTAGGGCACCAGCCACATATTTCCAGCTAGTGGGTTCCAACTCCACCGGGGACTGCTAAACAACAATGACAACTTGTGGCGGGTGCCTGTAGTCCCAGGTACTTGGGAGGCTGAGGCAAAGAGTATCACTTAAGCCCAAGAATTTGAGGTTGCTGTGAGCTGTGATATCATAGCAGCCTACTGAGGGTGACATAGTGAGACTCTGTCTCCAAAAAAGAAAAAAAAAAGAATTGCTTTCTGGCTTAGTACTGTGGTGTGACACCACTGAAAACCCACATAAATACAACTTCTCTTTGTGTATATCTCAACAGGCTTCTGATGGAAGCAGCTCCAGGGAAGATATTTCATCCCAGCTTTTCAGAAGAAATGAACAGATCCGCAAGTTAGAGGCCAGACTTTCTGGTATGTCTGAAAACTCATAAAAAGTAAACACCAGGAAACTTGCCGTACCTGACTCTCTTTTCTGTATAAAACACCCATATAGGATAACTTAGTAGTTATTTTGACATGTCATTTTGATGTCTTTAGTCAGAAAGGACCAATGTGTACTCTCTTGGTTTCTTTTTCTTTCTTTTTTTTTTTTTTTAGTATACTGAATAGTGTAAATTCAACATTGAGTTTGAAAGTTTATTTTAAAAAAAAAAACTTTTTTTTTCTGTTCTTGAGGTTTCTAGCCATGGACATTAAAGATATTAAAATATATGTGGAATAGATTTGACCATCTTCTGCCAATAGCACAGCTTACTTTCTGGTGAATAGTATTTATACTGAATGGCTGATGCCTTTTGAATTCATCAGCACCAAAGGGGTTTTGGTGCTGTGTGGCCACTTGCTACAGTTCACATCACCTGTGTGAGTGTTTTTCTAGGTCTTTAGGCCACTTTTCTTTTTTTTTTTTTTTTTTTTTGACACAGAGCCTCAAGCTGTC